TACAGCAGTCCAAAGTACAGTGCTGGTAGATGTAAATGCGACGCGCGCGCATTTCGGTGGTGGGGGGGCGTGAAAACCCGCGCTTAGTCAGCTCTAAACTGACGCTGGGGCGTCAGTGTATTGGGACCCCTTACTGTTGGTGTTGCTTACTTAATCTTAATTCCGCCAATCAACGCGCTATCTAATATACTCACCTGCCTTCGCAAGTACTTCCATGAGTACCCAGCCTCCCACACAATAGTTCTCTAGCTTTACATAGTTACCTACTTGAGCCATTAGCCCATGGAAGCAGAGCAAATCAATTAAACATTGAAGCTCTATTCATACCTATTTTCGCTCGCTTCACCTGTTCATCTACCAATGTATCCTCACAGCACCATGTGTCCACAGCGCCAGCACCAGTAACTACAGCTAGACCACTGTCTTTCATGAAGAAGCTTGGTTCGCTCGTTTTCCTCTACCAGCTACCAGAGTCCTCAAGCACAAGCAGAAACACCAAAACCAATGGAGACCACCAACAGCGACTCATAATCATCGCCGGATGGACAAACGCCAAAGACGCACATATAGCCAAGTACGTGGTCAAATACCAAGCCCTATACCCAGCTGCTCAGATTCTTCTCCTTAAGAGCACCATGAGTTGTATCCTCCGTCCATCGCAGATCGGCACCGCTGTGAACCCCGGTGTCTCTGTCATTCGAGCCGCCTTCCAGACGCCGGTATCATCTTCTTTGTCTTCACCGCCACTTCTTATTCACATATTCTCCAATGGCGGTTCTTCTAGCATTGCAAAGATGTATGATGGATATGCTGCCACAGCAGGACCTAATGAAGATAAACGCTTCCCACCGCACGTTACCGTCTTTGATTCGTGCCCTGGTCTCTTTCGTATCCCTCGCGCTGTGGACTTTGTCAGTGTCGGTCTCTCTTTCTTTCAGAAGCTGATTGTCATCCCGTTTCTCTACATCTGGGCCGTTTGGTGGAGTGGAGCGACGGCTGTGGGCTTGCTCACTGATTTCTTAAGCGACGGTGCAACTTGCACAACAATGATAAGGCAAATACGGCTGAGATACTGCGGGCGTACATCTACAGCGCCGCTGATAGATTGACCGACTATAAAGATGTCGAGGCACATGCGGCCAGGGCTGAGGGTAAAGGCTTTTCCGTGGCTTTAGAGAAATATCAGGGTTCGACGCACATCGCACATTCACGGAAGGATGAGAGTCGGTACTGGGACATCATCAAGAGGACTATGGAAGGTTGAGACTCGGTGTTATTAGATTGGAGTAGCTCTAGCCTCAGAAATATTCCATAGCGAGCCGGACAGAGAGAAAGTTGCACGGGTTTCAGAATCTCGGTAGATGTAATGGCAACCATCTCCTATCTTCACCATGTTCAATCAGAATTTGCTTCAGAGCGTTCCCTTTTTCTCAATTGAACTTCTGGTCCTTGCTTGAGTGAGATATATGCATCTGCTATTTGTAACTGCTTCCTATCCCTCTCAGCCCAGCCCAGCTCAGGCTTCCCTTCTCCAACAGTCGATCCTGGTGTCTTTCTCAAATCAAAACAGAGAAGAGTCCGAGATACAAAAAGGAAGATCTCGGCCAGTGCTATATTCTTCCCAGCACAACTACCAGGACCACTTAGAAAAGGGTGGAAGTTGGAGCGAATCCCGGCTACCATCTCCTTGGTAACTCCTGCAACCTCATCTACAATTCAGCGTTCGGGTCGGAAGACCGTTGGATCTCCGTAGACTTCAATATTGAGAGAATCACACCAGGAAGCTGTGCCAACAATGGTGCCCTGGGGGTAATGTTTGTTTAGAATATCAAGACCTCCAGCAAGTACCTCTCGGGGAGGTTCGCAGGGCCCTGGTGGGACAAGACGCATTCCCTCATCGATACATGCCCGGAGATACGTGCATCCCATAAGCTTCGGACCGTAAACAACATCGTCTGCTGTCTTGAATGTTCTTTGCAGCTCGTCGACAAGTTTTTGGTAACATCTCGGCGCCCTGACAATGTACCAGAAGATGCCAGCGATGCTAGGAGATGTAGTATCAGACCCGGCAATAACTAGTAAACTAGCCTCTGCGCGAAGCTCGTCTTCAGTGTAAGCTGGGTGACCTGTGCTGGGATCTTGAGCTTTACACAAGAAATAGAGCATGTCTTGGCGACGCTTATTCTTGTGGTCATCCCCTTCCTTTTCATATAGCTCAACCCGTCTTTTAACACTATCAAAAATAAATTCATTGAATTGTTGTACCGGTCGCGGGGTGACAAGCTCCATGAGTCGGTCCAAGCCGCGAGGCTTGAGCCAGTTGATTGAGCTTAAAAAAGGCGAGCGGCACATCTTCATTGAATGTCAGCAATTGCTATCTTGACCCGTAAGATTACCTCGCCGAGAGTCATGAAAAGATTGGCACTCACAGGATAGTAAAACTTAAGGTATTGTATGATATTATGTGGCACAGTTCTCAGAGAATTATCGCCAGGCTCCTTGAGATTAAATGATCTCCCAAAGCTGAGATCACCCATGATATCAAACGCAAGGTGGTCTATTTTCTCACCAAAGTCCACGGAGACAAACCACTCGGTTGTACTATCATGCTCATCCAACAGAATCTCGTGTAAACGGTCGATTTGTTGGCCTATCAAAGAAGAGACGGCAGTCACCGAGTTATCGGTGAAGCATGTATTGAGCACTTTGCGTCTTCGGGCGTGCTCCGAGGGGTCTATAGTGTTCAAAGTTGTTTTTTCCCGAATGTTCTTCGTCAATCCTACATAAAATGTGCTTCGTCGAACATTGGACTTCATTCCATAGATTGCGGCATGGGCATCTGGATCACAGAAAAGGACCAAATTTGGCGCGACGCGGATCCTTTTGCCATAGATCTGGAATGACTGCCACAGCCAAATATAGCGCTTGCTCTAGCCCAAAAAGGTCCTGGAACATGGCGCAGAGGATGCAATTAGAGGTTGTGGAATGCACTTGAGAGGATCTTGGGGCCGGTATTAGCCAAAATACCCTTATCTGACGAAGCTGCAAAGGTAGCAGGGTAGACCAATGAAGAAGACGAACCAACACAAACACGAGCGCACAAGACCACAGGAGGCCTTTCGCAGATCCTACAGTTGGAACAAATGTATGGAGTTTATCGAACATGATGGGGAAGAGATGAGGGTTGTCCGTGGTTCTGAAGGGTTATGGCGTGGCACCGTGTTATCTTGTCTTGTGCGACTTGTCGTTGCCAGGGCTACTGTTGATACTAAGAACCAGATGGGGTTGATCCGATTTCCTCTCGATGACTAGAAAGTTCAAGATTGTAAGAGGATAGATAGCTAGGTACATGAGTGGGATAGTTTGTCGTTGGAAACTGGCTTATGTGAGGAGTTGTTGGTTGTTAGTTATTAGTTGGTGCTGTCCCAAATCGCCAGGTATGCATTTTGGCCGATTTTGATACCGACGCAACTTTAGCCTACCTTCGTACAGTTCAACCAACTTTCCCCCAAAAAGGGTCGAAAATGTATGAACAAAATTCAAGTCAGTCAGCCCGGAGTTATCACCTCTTTAGGTTAGATCCTGCCCTGGGAAAAAAGTGGGAAAACCCGGGGCAAGGATAAACTGGAAAGTGACTTTAGGAATAATAACATAGAATATTCGCTAGAAGCTAAATATTTATTAATAGTAGAGGGAGGGTTACTACTTATGAAGACTTCTAATACATTCAAGTAACCCTAATTGTCAGGGCATTACTAGGAGTGTACAAGGAGTATTCCAAAATATTGTTGAGATTGATCGCAACGAGCGAATGAGATCTAAAGGCTAGCAATTATTTATACTTGATGTGAGTGTGCGCCATTCCTGATTTGGCAACTCCTACCCAGAACTATATTCACTAAGCGAAGCACCACTATAGCTAACCCCTATGTACTAATCTATATGAACCCTCATACAAATCGTACTAGTCAAGTAATTCAAGTACACGTGACTTTGACTGTTTGTTTCAGGTTTAATTTCTCTATGCTAAATAACACATTATATTTATTCTGTAGTCAGCAAGCTAAATAGGCAAACAAATCCTGAGGTAGATGGTCCGGAAGCTTCGACTCAATTCTTCCCCATTTGACACAACTAAACTTTCTGCTACAAATTTCATGATTCATAAAGCCGTCACCGCAATAATACTAACCATATTCACTACCACTGGTTACCACAATAACAACACGTTGCAACAACCAAGTATGATTCCTTACGTAGCTTCCACAATATAATGACGGCCTCGAAACCTTTCGAACCTCTTCCTCAACACCAAACCAACGAAATCCTATGTTACACCACCAAACCAAACAATCATGGCATTCCCCCCCTTCTTCCGAAAACCACGACGCAAGTCATCCCGAGGAAGTGACCAAGCAGAAGAAAGCAAAACACCACAAAAGCGACCAACAAAAGCCCGAACCCCCTCCCACATAAGCCTCACCTCCGACTGGGTAACCAGACCCCTCAGTTCTCTCCCCTCCACCCCTCTCCCTCCCGCATCACCAAAGTCCATTCCCGTTCCTCAAGAAGACTCTTCAACAATCTCCATGCATTCGTCCCTCTCCTCGTGGGTGACCTCTCCTCCGTCTCCTCCACCCTCAAAAGTGAAGCTTTATTCCTATATGAACCACCTCTCAATTCCACACTTGGATCAGAACATCTGCTATATACTTGCACACCAAGAAGCTATACCAGATAATCTCCGAGCAGCATGTTTTCAAAATGCTTTACGGTTCTGGGAGGAATATATCCTTCCTTCGTCCGCGGTGAAGGTGTGGCATGAGGATATTACTCAGGCTGAGCTGGAGGATTTGATGATTGTGGGAGCGAGATTGGGACATGAGTATGCGTTGCCTTGGGCAATCCGACAGAGGGAGTCATACACGGCACTCTCCGCGGAGGCCAAAAAGCAGAAGATGGCGGAAGAGGCTTATAAGGATATTGATACCTGCCGAGATACCACTGGTGACAGCGATTGCGATGAGAGTGACAGTGACGAAGAAGTCCCACTTTCTGCCAGCTATCAACATCTCCTTGGTAATAGAGATCCATTTGATCTTCCTATCTCCTGGGGCCGCGCATTCGGTCGCGATCTAGTTCTTCGTGAGAGCTTTCGGCCCACCACGAATGATATTGAAGATGAAGATTACGATGCTCTTGAAGGCGCCTATCCAGATTTCAAACGAGCTAGGGAGGAGGCTATGGAGCTGGAGATGGGAAGGTTGGGATGGAGTCAGAATGTTAATCTGGAGAATGAGGTGAAGGGGAAGGGGAAAGGAAAGGAGAGCGACCGGGAAAATTACGAAAGTCCGACTGTGAAAGGTAAAGAGGGTGTGGATTTTGGTGTCTAAATATATGTTATGGAAACTATCATTGGGATGGGTGGGGATGTGTTTAGGACTAAACTAGGAGGCGGTGTAGTTACCTTTTTTTTAAAATAAAATAAAAACATCAACAAGAGTCTCCATACGTATTGACTTCGAAGACATACATAAGAGCTCCTCACTAGTAGAGTGCCCTTTTAATTGTCTGTTCAAACATTCTAGAAAGATTCAATGTATTCTTTGAGCTTACCCAAAATAACTGGATGCAAAAAGTAAAGCTGTTCCTGCCCTGGTCATGCAGTCTGCTATTTGACATTATTGTTAATCTATATCTAGCAGTTGCCAGCATAAAAAGCTAGAGGGTCAACACTTGATTCTTGAAATTCTCAACATTTCATCAGTGATTATCTTTCTGGAAACTACACATTAGATACGTAAGAGATACTACAGATGTATTTCTGCGCATTGTACTAATGCTTGCAGCTTCTGGTCGGTGTCAGCATTGTGCCGCTGAAGTGCCTCCTGGTTCACTAATTGCTTTCGCTCTTTTCAACTATCCCAATTGCGATGGAAATACGATAAAATAAGAATAAGTGCCACTATCAATCTCAATTGAGAGGAGTACATTCCTTCTTTCCTACAATTCAAATGTCATCGCCTCAATTGGCGCAGCCAAGCACACCCCGCCAAGCGTATAACCGATGACCCCCTATTCCATCGCGAACCTCACAAATGCAACATCCCCACCATCCCCCGATTTCTTATCCATCACGTCACGTCATATAGTAAGCAAGGCAACGTCAAGCCGCTCAATTGATTAAATATCACAGGAGAGAACCCCTGCTGACAATTCCGACCTGCTGTATTAAGCTTGGCACCGAATCTGCATACTGTATGCAGATCTCAGATGCGGAGACCATGTCGTACCTGCCAAGGGTATAAATACCAGGAACGAAAACTTGGAAGTCTCTTTTCTCTTTCTCATTCTTTTACCTCCTGCAAATGTCTCACCGACAATGTCCAGAGGTCTTCAAAATGGTTCGTCTTGTCAATTTGGTGTCGTTGATGGCAGTTTGTGAGGCAATTCAAGTTCTGCATCTTCATGAAGTTCATGAGAAGAGAACCTCATTCATCCGAGATGGACGAAAGTGAAATGAGTCGAGGAACACAAACTCCTGCCGATGCGCATTGGTCTTGCGCAGATCAACCTGGATGATGGGTATCACTAGCTAATTAATCTTTAGGTAATAAAAATACTAACGTGGTTTATCAGCGAGTCGATCATATCACCGAGTCGATCACTTTTCCTTGGCACTACCTCCTCAAACATCAACACACGTTTTCTTCAACTATTTACCATGGAAATTCAAACTCAAGAAGCGCGAATTACTCTAGCTATCGAGGCTATTCGGTCGTCCAAAAAACTAAGCAAACGCTCTGCGGCAAAGATCTACAATGTACCATATACGACTCTTTCCGACAGAATGGCTGGCCGAACCTACCGCCCAGATTCTCAAGCCAATTGTCATAAGTTGACTGAGTTAGAAGAGGAAGTGATTATTCGGTATATACTGGATATGGATTCCAGAGGATTTGCGCCCCGGCTCGCTGGTGTAGAAGATATGGCTAATTTTATCCTTGAATCGCGGGGGGGAAGACGCGTCGGCAAGCTCTGGGCCCATCGATTCGTACAACGACAACCAGACCTTAAGACGCGTTTTAATCGCGTTTACGACTTCCAGAGGGCCTTATGCGAAGATCCTGACGTGCTAGGCGCATGGTTCCGGCTAGTAGAGAATATGAGGGCGAAATATGGGGTTACAGACTCCGACTTCTACAACTTCGACGAGACAGGCTTTATGATGGGTGTTATTTGTCCTAGAATGGTTGTTACTCGTGCAGACCGACGTGGTAGAGGCAAGGCAGTTCAGCCAGGCAATCGGGAATGGGCTACAGCAATTGCCTGTATTAATGGGGAGGGCTGGAGTATTCCTCCATTCTTGGTAGTTCAGGGCAAGAACCATCTCTCCAACTGGTATACCGACGGCGGCCTCCCACCTAACTGGGTTATGAAACCGACAAGCAATGGTTGGACAAATAATGAAACAGGCCTGGAATGGTTAAAGCACTTTGATAAACACACTACAGCTCGTGCAAAGGGTCTGTATCGAATACTAGTTTTGGATGGGCACGAGAGTCATGAATCGGCTGAGTTCCAAGACTACTGTACGAAACACAACATTATTACTCTTGGACTACCTCCTCATTCATCCCATCTAACCCAGCCACTTGATGTTGGGTGCTATAGTGTGTTAAAACGAGCGTATGGTCGGCAGATTGAGACGTTTATCAAGGCCCATATCAACCATATTACAAAGGTTGAGTTCTTTCTAGCCTTTACAGCAGCATACAAGGAAACAATGACAGTCCTAAACTGTCAGTCTGGATTCCGCGGAGCTGGCCTAGTACCATTTAACCCGCAAGCAGTGCTTTCAAAGCTTGACGTAAGGTTACGGACTCCAACTCCCCCTCGGACGTGTAGTGCCAACTCCCTCCCCTGGGTGTCCCAGACCCCTTCCAACCCAACTGAAGCCCTTTCACAATCAACTCTTGTACGAAATCGTATAGCCTGTCATCAAGGAAGCTCGCCAACTCCACTTTTTCAAACAGTTGCTGCGTTAGCAAAGGGTACAGAGCGAATGGCACATGAGATGACCCTTTTGTCTGCTGAGGTCCGTACCCTTCGCGCTGCAAATGAAGCCCTAAGTAAACGCCGTAGGGCTAAAAAGACTCGTGTCCGCCAAGGAGGGGCACTTATAGTAGAGGATGTACAGGATATGTTAGCTCAGGAGGATGTAGATGAGCAAGTACGACGCGACATGCGTGAGGCGGGGGTTGGTTATAAGGAGGGGCAACCTTCTAGGCGGCGCTGTAGAACTTGTGGAAAAGCTGGTCATAACGCGCGAACTTGTCAAGAAGTTATAGATATATCTAGTTCGTCAGATATAGAGAGCGATAATTAATTTAATATATTGTGGTTGATTTATTTAGGTGTAAAGTTCTGTGCCAAGAAAAAGTGATCGACTCGGTGATATGATCGACTCGCTGATAGACCACGTTAGTCGAATTTAATATAAGTTAGCTTTTATTCTATAAATTTACCGAATATTTTTTTGAAATCTATATAATATCTATACTTATTACTTTATACTAACTGTCACGGATGCCAACAAAGGATAAAGTGTATACAGCTTTTGAATCAATTGCTAGAACTAAAACCGTAGGTACGAAGAAATCAAACTAAAGAGAGAAGAGATTCTGAAAGGAGCGAAGTTATTTAAGTTGTTCCAATGCCAAGTCTCGTCACGTGCTTGGCCAAGCGAATGAAATCCTGTCAAATGAAATCCAGTGTAACGAATACTCAAACTGGCTAACTAAACTTGGCTGGGTGTTCGCTGGTTGGTATGCTATGATAAGAAGAAGA